TTTAGGCTGCGAGCGAGTCTGGCCGTGCTTTTCTTCTTTTTTTTTTTTTCCAGGAGTGTACCAGAAAAGAAACAAAACGGAAGCTGCGCTCGGCAAAACTCGCTGCGCAGTGAAAATCAGGGTCGGCAAAAACAGGCTCGGAGGTCGGTTTAAGCAAAATCAGTCGGTTCACGTATGTGGGCCCATTGATTGGCCCAGTATCAGTGAGCCCATGTCAGTGAGCTCATGCCAGTGGGCCCATTTCAGGCTGCACTGCAAATGAGAGCACAAAAAAGCACAAGATTCAACACAAGACGGGGTTTTCAAAACCAAAAATAACATATGCGCATTGCCAGCAAAGCAGAAAACATTGCTAGCATCATCTACACAATAATGATTAATCCCACTCTACGTACAAGCTCGGCAGCGCTTCGACATCATTATTACCCTACCTTGTTCAGGCTCGACTTCTTGCTCACTCTCAAGAGCAGCGCAGTGATGCACTCCAGAGTCGCGCGATTTGCTGGTGGCAAGGCTCCCATGATTTCACGCAGACGGCGGAAACTGCTTCCATGTGCGTCCACAATGTCATCGTACAGGGCCCACGTCAAAACCGGTTCCGGGAGCACACTGAAGTAGTGCTTGATGAGAGCCCCAACAGTTGCGGGGCTCGTCCCAGGGGGAATAGAAGCCTCTCGGTCTGTTTACACAACAAGAGAGAGAGCACACGTGCAGCAACAAGACGAAGCAAATTGCAAAACAACCCCTGAGCAGTCCATTCCACTGAATTCTTTACACAATGTACTAAAAAATCATATTAAAAAAAAATGACTGTGGTCATTTTGTGTTTGCAACCGCCTTCTCCTGAGCATTGTGCCATACTTCTCCACCGTGTACGTTCTATACATAGTTCTCTTCTCCTTGAGCTTGTGGTTTCCGCTTTGTTCTCTTCTTCTCTAGCTTGTGGTTTGAGGTCTTCTTCTTGAGCTTGTGCTTTCAATTGCTTTGTTTCTTTCTTTCTTTCTGTAATAGGACACAGGCGGCCAGGATGGGGGGGAAGGTCGCCCAAGTACCCTCCCGGGCGGCCCGGCCTGGGCAATGACCGGGCAGGGTCCCGGGCGATCCCAGCGCATAATATTAAAAAACAAAATAGAAAAAAAAAATCCAGGGGAAAAAATGCAAATAAAATCCAGGGAAAAAAATGCAAATAAAATCCAGGGAAAAAAAAAATGCCGTGTAAAATTGTAATACAAACCACTTTTGGCTGAGGGCCACCTCGAAATTCCTCGTTAATTTTAAGGTAAAAAGGAATGAAAAAACATGAGTCCAAATGAACCCTTTTAAGTCGTTTAGTCACTGTGTATACCCCCCAAGCCCCCCTGGATGACCCATCACAAAAAATCGAAGTTAAGACCGGATTCTGACTGCTTAGGCCAAGCGCAGTACTGGCCTAAAGTCTTTTTTTTTTTTTTTTTGGGATCCTTGCCTCTTTTTTGACCCGTCTGGTATTGCCGGGCGACCCGCCCTCTGCCCCCTACCTGGCCCGGGCGTGCTGGGCCGGGTCTTTTTTTTTTCTTTTTTCTTTTTTCGTTGGTTCCCACTTTTCTGTTCCTTGTTTGTTTTCCCAAAGATTGTGATAAAATGCGACTCAGACGCTGGGCCTGGTTCCCAGCACGTGTTGCTCCCCACGAATAGATTCCAGCTTTTGTCCCCCCCCCCCCCCCCAAAAAAAAAGGCACACATAGTTTGACACGATGACTCTTGACTGTACTCTCCTTCCAAAAACCGTTAGCAACGTTTGCGCCCCTGTACTCTTTTTCCCAAAGCCTGCGCTGCCGTTTGATGCAACGGCATCAAGTGCCCATCAACCGTAACATGAGAAGAGCACGCCAGAAGCTAGACCCCAATTGTACTTACAAAAAGAATCAGCATTTGAACCGTTAGCCGCTATGGCTGTTACCCTTAGAGCCAGGCTCCACTGGTGCTAAATTCATGCTCAGAAAACACGTACAAGGTGGTGACACCGACCAGATTCGTGCTGACATAGCACAATAAAGCCACTATATTCATGCTCAGAAAACATGTACATGGACGTGACACCGGCCAGATTCGTGCTAGCGTAGCACAATAAAACCACTAGCTGTTAGTCACTGGCCATTCGCCGTTACCCAGTAGTTGTTCGGCCATACCCATAGGGAGGATGCGTGGGTCAAATCCTGCTGATCAGTAGTAACTTGTAAGAGAGAGAGAGAGAGAGAGAGAGAGAGAGAGAGAGAGAGAGAGAGAGAGAGAGAGAGAGAGAGAGAGAGAGAGTAGCCATTACTCAATGGTCATAAAGTCACGCCAGTAGAGAGAGAAAGCGAGCGAGCGAGCGAGCGAGAGAGAGAGAGAGAGAGAGAGAGAGAGAGAGAGAGAGAGAGAGAGAGAGAGAGAGAGAGAGTACAATTACCGACTGAGAGCTAATCAAAGTAGAAGAGGCAAGTGATCATTCGGCATTAGCAAATCTACAATGCTAACAATGCTAATGAGAATGAGGTCCCCTTCAGCAGATGGCAACCAGTCATTCGCCGTCAGCTGATCCTGCACAATCAAACTTGAATGCCTCTGACGAAAGGCGGGGCTTCGGCCCTCGTGATCAGGACCTGCAGCCGCCAAGGTTACGGTTTGTCCTGGGGGGGGAAGCAAGAAGAGTTTCTTGAAGTGAAAAGTGTCTTAGGGAAAGAAAGAAAAAAAAAGGACAAGAAGGGTTTCTTGAAAATTTTGGGCTGGGAAAGGGGACTTGTGAACTTTCTAGAACAAACTGTCCTCTCAAAATTGCAGATCGCATAAGCACAATTGAGGGGGCTCATATCAAGAGGGCCCAGTGAAGGGGGACCAGCAAGTTTGGCTGCACCCCATGTACTTGGCCAGAATCACGGATGCATTCATCCAGTACCATCAGGCAGCCTTGGCCCGGGTCCTGGTCGAACCTCCCAAGCCAGAAGCACAGCTGGATTCACCCACTACCACAAGGCAGCCTTGGCCCTCTGGTCCCAGTCGAAATGATAAGGATGATGCTATTTTTTTTGTTTCTTTTTCAGGGGTGAAACTTACTCGAACCGTTCGCCAGACGGTTCGAGTAAGATGGTGGTTCCCTCAGGACAGCTGGAGCTGTTGAAAAGTTTTATAAGAAACGAAATTCCCAGAGCCGAGCAAAATAGTGCAGTGTGAAAAACAAGGGCCGGGGAAGTGTACAAAAAAACAAAAAACAAAAAAAAAGGGTCGGAAAAGTGCGCAGTCCACAATATTTCACCTTGATTAAAGGCATCTACCAATGCCTGAAGGTCTCGAGGACTGCCTTCATCCTTAAACAAATACTCGTACGTCAACCCTGTGAAGAGCGGGCGCACACCACCACCATGACCACAATTATTAACAAAAAAATAGCATCGGCAAAGACAAACGAAAAACAACACTTCAGCAATGTGGAAAAAAAAAAAACAGCAGGGGGGAGGAGGGCGTTGAAGCTGTCTCTTATACACATCTAGATGTGTATAAGAGACAGGTGCAATGGGAAAAGGGGCCTAACAGCGCAGAACCTTAAGCCCCCCCAAGTACGCGGCCCCAGCCTTGCTGAAAAGCAAAAACTCGTCGCCTACAAAATTGAATCTGCGGCGGGCAGCATCCGAAAAGGGCCCGCAGCCATAAGCTGGATGTACTGGTGGTTTGAGCCACCGCTACCTCTCCTTCACAGGCAAACTTGAAACACCACCAATTCAGCACAAACCGAATTCTTCCGGTGGAACAGTGCTACCGCACCAAAACAACTGGCTGCTCCAGCCCACCAAAAAAAAAAAGAAAAAAAAAGAAGCCGTCGTGCTGGACCTCCGTCAAAGCTTTGCATGCAGGTCCTTTTCCACCTCGGCAAAATGCGGCTCGCAGGTAATTGTGGCTTAAGCCGCTTAACCGTGCAAGGCAAAAAAAAAAACACCACTGGTTCATGCACACAGATACAAAAAGAAATCAATAGATCTCCCACATGAAAATGCAAAACCAGTCCCTTAGCGGGACATCCGTTAGAATTGGAATGATACAAAAAAGCAGATAAGCATGGACCCTTGACAATGAGGAAGTCTACACACTTTACGATAATTCAAATTTCAAAGAAAAGATAAGCATGATACCAAAAAAAATGACACAGATAACACGCATAAGGGCATACTCACAGTAGGCCCTCAAAATAGCAAAATCGCAAAATGAACGCCCAGATCGAGTGCTTGTAACCAGAGGGCTCTATCTGGCCGCTCATTTTGCGGGCCTAGTGTGACCATGCCCTAAGTCAGGAAAAATGGTCCAAATCTTCATTGAAAGTTTTGAAACCAAAAAAACAAAAAAAACAAAAACAAGGAAGCGAAAACAGGCTGGCAAGGGAACAGGTGGGGGGGGGAGAGGGCAAAAGAGGGGAAGGGAAGGGAAGGACAAGGTGATGATTTCAATAATAATATCATAATAATGAGCTAATCGTCACATAGCATCGAGAGACGAGTTACCTGAAACAATGAGGAAGTCTACACACTTGATGATAATTCGAGGGACCAACCGCCCACCGCCTTGCCTCTGGGTAGTCACCTCCAACGGAACCCCGAAAACTGAAACAAATGGAAAAAAAAAATAATAATAATAAAAATCATTTTCACCTTGTTGAAAATCAGATGGTACTCAAACAACAGTAGAAACGAGAATAGCCATGGGGGGAAAAAAAAAACGCATTAATCAACTCAAATAAAGTCCACAAGCACAGCACTTCCAATCAAAGAGAACASCCCCCCCCCCCCCCCCCCCCCCYYYMCCCCYYSSCMYCCCCCMYMSCCYMCAATCTTCCCCCAAAATAAAGCACCTGCACCTGCCTTCAAAGTTGCATTCAATGCAGACAAGAGGGAAACAAAATGCAGTTTTCCCAAGTGGATTTTTTCCAGACCCATAACTAATTAACATGCATCACTGTGTTTCCGAATGCCTACCAAAAGTTTAAAGTCCTCACAGGCTGGCGACAATACCCATTGTACTGATCAATTGATTTCATTCCAGAGGTTCAGTAAACTCGTCAAAATTACACTCTGGCAGTGTGCAAAAAGTAAACACGCTCTTCATTCAAAGAGTAAAAAGAAAGTTAAAAATTTGACATAACCATATGATTCAAATTTCAAAGAGAGAAAAGACGGACAGAAGAGACGAGGAAGAGAAAAAAAGAGGCGTGCAGAACGCATTCTCCACACTCGCCCTAGACTACACCATCCTTCCGCTGATAGCACATGGCGATACTGCGTGCCTCGAGCCGTACTCTCACACTAGCTATATACTATATAGTAAATCAATGTATCTGACAGCATTTACGACCGTACCTGGGTGTATCTGACCGCAATTACGACCGGAAACAAGTAAAAAAAGAGTTCTATTGCGAGTATGCCCTCCTTGTAGACTCCATTCCACACATTTGACCCACAAAGCGAAGTCATTGTTGGTCACATAGCCTTGATTGAGGAGACCGATTGCTAAATGCAGTCATTCTCTTCCATAGACTTGAGAAGACTAATCCTTCAAAAGCCTATCCAGTGAGGATGTAAGGGTACTATCACCCTAAAGAGCCTAAAGCCAACTGATGGAATTGCCACACCCAAGAGGCCACCACAACCACATCATGCTCCAAAAGCAAGCAGCTGTGTCACTCGAAAACTTGGTCGCGAATCCGATTGCTGCAAAACAAGTGACCGATAGCTGCCATGCTAGTAAATGATTTCTTCATATTGGGCTCCGTGCATACGCTCGCCCCCGCCACGAGAAATAATGCCCTGGCAACACCACTAGGGCAGTGACTTAGGCCAGGCGAATAACAAGACAGCTACGGGAACCTGCAACCTAGGCCGGCCGCCCGCCCGCCTTCCTGTTCACTGATGTTTTCCCCCAGACAGAGCCAATGATTTCTTGAAAGACGTGACATTGGCCATGGGAAACCTGCAACCTACTACCGGTAGTAGCCCGGCCGCCCACGTTCGTGATCACAGATGTGCCCCAGACAGAGCCAATGAAACCAATACGACCTCAATTAGCCCACCAATACTTTCGAATTTTCCGATGCGATTTTCTCCAACCCTGGGAATGCCCTGTGCGCCAAAATACGAACCAGCGCGGGCCATTGACGAAATTCATCAACGGCCACGAAGGCCCGGAAAGCTACGGCGCATATACAACAAGGGCCCACAGCCGATACATGGGCCAAGCACTGGTGGTTTAACTTTTGTTTTTCTTTTTAACTATTATTTCTTTTACTTATTTCGATACCATTATCATATCATATTCTGTTTAATAATTCAATTAATTTGCTTTTTTCATAGTAATGGTCAGTGTTGCGTTCATCAGATGACAGGGGGCAAAGTGCACAGGGGGGTCACATCAGATGCGATGTCGAAGCATGCAAAGCCCGGGAAGTACTCTCAGGGCATTACTCACACAAGGGCTTTCCTGGATGTATATGGCTGCTTTTCCAACCTAGCCTGGATGCACCTGACCGCAATTACATCCTCAGAGAAGTGGAAAAAGTCCTATTGTAAATGGATCTGATCGTAGAGAATGCCCTTACCAGAAATCCTAGGTTCAAAAGAAAAAAAGGGAAAAAAAAAGAAAGGCTTTCCACAGACTGGTCGACTCGTTTTTAATGGGCATTTGAACGTCGATCAGAGTGTCCGCATCACTATTCAGCAAAAGACCTAGCAAGGTTCATGGACGATTATTTTGGGGGCAGTTGGGAAGAGGGCGGGAGAGGGAGAGGGCGCGAAATGGTCCTTACCACCTTTGTACATCATTCCCTGCAACGAAACAGCAACATGACAAACCGTTGTGCGAACAAGAAAGATAGATCAGATTCTTGGGAAAAAAAAAAAAAAAAAAAAAAAAAAAAAAAAAAAAGTACTACACAGGCACCGCAGACACAGAGAGGGAGAGAGAGAGGGAGGGAGGGAGGGAGAGAGTTGCAACCAGAAGTGCGAGAAAGGAGAGTAAACTTCAATACCCTGCCATGAACATTGACTGCAATTTTCTTTTTCATTTCCGGACAGAACCGAACCACAGAAAAAGAAAAGAAAAGAAAAAGGAAAAAAAAACTGGACGACAGGAAGGGAGAGGATGGAAGGACGCAAGGAGGAAGGGATAGCAAAAGAAACGCAGCAAGGGGCAAGGAGCAAGACGAACGCAGTAGATCCTGTAATTACTTTCAAAGCGATTGTACATCAATGGTATAGGACTTGCGAGTATTCAGATTATAATATACTTCTGATGAACAATCACTTACTTTTGATAGCTACCTCATTCCAGAGGACGATCTACAATTCGGTGACAATTGACTCTATTACTTAAAACTTAAAAGAGAAAAAACAGCAAGGGGGAAGGAGCAAGAGGCAGAGGATGGAAGGGAGGGCGCAAGTGAGGGCACAAGGCAGTGAGCAATGCACGGAGCAGGGCAGAGAGCAAGGGACAGAGCAAGGGAGGCAAAGCGAGGGGAATGAAGGAAGGAACTGGACTAGAGCAACGAAGGGAGCAAGGCAGGGATAAAGGGATGCACAGAGAGAGAGAGAGGGAGGGGTCGAAGCCGCGAGGAGGCAACTGGGAAGGAGCAGGTAACAGAGCAAGGGAGGGCACAAGGGGTGGAGAAAGTGGGAAACAATGAACAGAAGAGCACTACAGAGTGACAAAGCAGGAGGGAAATACAGGTGAGCTACGCAGGCAGCAACAAAAGGGGAGGTGGGAGGTAGGAAAAGGGGAGGTGGGAGGTAGGCAAAAGGGGAGAGAGCAAGAAAAGGAGGAAGGAATAAAGAGAGTTTGGATGCCACTAAGCTTATATCCGAAACTCCCCGTCTGGCGCAGCTTCTTGCAGGACGAGCATCCTGGCGGCACTAACGAAAACTATACTTGCCCACTTTAATCCAATGGTAGTCTGATCGTTAATCAGACAGAACACGCCAGAACACGCCTGCAATGGAGAAGCAGGAAACGGAGCAGGGACGTGTGGGGGAAGCAACAAGAGGTGTGTAGCACAGCTCGCATCTCACCCTATTACGCCAGTCGAGCATCTCGAGCTTCTCAAGAGCTTGTTTGCTTGACTCGGCAGCTTTACGTGCTGCCTGCAAAAAAAAAAAAAAGCATGGCAGACATTGACAACCAGCATGTCACTTCAATTTTTCTGTTTACTTTTTCATCGTGCCTTCAATCTTTTAGTTTTCTGTTTTCTTTTTTTTCGTGCCTTCAATCTTCCAAGTTCCAACCCATCATTTTGTGCCTTCAGTCTTTTAGTTTTCTGTTTTTTTTTTGTTTTTTTTTTTTCCTTTTTCCGTGCCGGGAACGTCCATCATCAGTGATGTGCATTTTTATCGTCAGTGCTTCGTTATCATCATGCAGTGATTTGTTGACCAGTCCTCTGGTACAAAAAAAATTGTCACCATCTTTGCTACCGTCTTCCCCCGAATAGAATGTGCACGGCCATTACCGCGGTATCTAGACGGAAAGTTGCCTCAAATACACACAGCTATAATGACCGTATGTTCTATTCGGGGGAAAAACACGGTAGGAAACTTCATCATCAACGCTAAGATTCTCTTCCATCAGTGATGTGCATCTTCATCATGCAGTGATGTCAGTCTTCATTGCATTGCGGCCATTACCGCTGCGCATCTAGACAGAAAGTTGCCTCAAATACAGTTACAATGACCATATCCGGGGAAGACAGTAGGAAACTTCACCATCACCGCTATGATTCTTTATCATCTGTGTGATTCTGTGATATGAATCTTCGTCAGAAAAGTGATGTCATTCTTCATCACTTTGCGGCCACTGCTGTATCTAGACAGAAAGTTGCCTCAAATACACAAAGTTTGCCATAAGCGCTATATGATTCTTCACCGTCGGCAATGTGAATCTTCATAAGTGATGTCACTCTTCATTACTTTGCAAATCTCTGGGAGAGAAAAGGTCTCTGTAACCAGTTGCCAAGAGGAAAAGCAGGTAGCAGTATGAAAGCCATCCCTAACTGTTCAGGCTTATCAGAGGCACAGAACCTCCACCTAGATTTGCGAGGGGACATGTTTCCTCTTTTTCCTGCCTCCCAGGGTTCGACAGTTCTCTTCCACTTCGACAATTTTTTTGTTATTAACTTAATTTTAGTTTAGCGGCTTATCTGCAGCTGTGTTGTTTTGTCATTCATGCTTACCGTGTTCTTGACCAACACCGCAATTCCTCGTCCTCTCCTCTTTTCTCTGTCCTCTCAGTTTTTTTTCTTCACCAGGCAGATCAACCATTCTCTTGCAAAATGATCGAACACTCGTATTGTTCCCATCTCTCTCTCTCTCTCTCTCTCTCTCTCTCTCTCTCTCTCTCTCTCTCTCTCTCTCTCTCTCTCTCTCTCTCTCTCTCTGTGTGTGTGTGTGTGTGTGTGTGTGTGTGTGTGTGTGTGTGTGTGTGTGTGTGTGTGCCTGAAATTTCTTGATTACAAAAATGCATTGTGTGCGTGTGTGTGCCTGAAATTTCTTGATTACAAAAATGCATTATACATGATTCGCATACCTGGCTTGTCTTTACGGATAAGGTTTCCTTCGTCTCGATCATTCCTTTCCTTAGTCGAGATCCCGATTCTTGGGCCACTTCTGCTGCAGCGCTGAGCTTTGCCTGCACTGTCGGCTTCACCTTCGACACCCATGACTCTCTCATCGACTGCCAATTTGACTTCATCTTTGCAGAGCTCTGCTCCACAGCTCTCTCCATTGCCGAACCTGCTTGCAGGGTCGCAATCTTTAACTTTGTCCCTGGAGGCAAGCAATTCACAAAACACATCAGGGGCCGGAGTGGGGGTTGGGGGGGGGGACAAGGAGGGTAACGATTCCGGTAGGGAAAGGGATGGTGAGGGAAGGGACAAGGGAGGTAAGGAATCCGGTAGGGAAAATGTTCTTAAATTCTAAATTCTAACACAATGGCAGCCACAGCTTCAGATGTGACAAATTGACAATATATCACCAAACAGAACTGCCTGGTAAACGGTAGGCAGAGAGGGAGAACAGGACAACAAACGAGGTGCTGTTATATTTGAGGGGCTGTTAAATACATATTTTAAACAGTCTGCCACTGCCTCTCATTTGTCGTCCTCTTCTCCCTCTCCCTTTCTGCCTACAGTTTACCGGGCAGTTCTGTTCAACGATATATATAGTACTATGAACCTTCTCTCTCTCTCTCTCTCTCTCTCTCTCTCTCTCTCTCTCTCATGCGCGCGCGTGTACGCGAGCGCGCTCTCGCTCGTAGGGAGAGGACAACAAGAAGAGGGAGGGGGAGATGAAGCATCCTTCATCAGAAGAAGATTTGTGAGCAGTCAGGAGTTTGGACTCTTTGGAGCCTACTGCATTAAAGAAAAAAATAGTAGCAAGCGTAGAACGATGAACCTTGAACGACAACAGCAACATAGAGGAGGAAGAGGAGGAGAAGAAGACGAAGAAGGACATGAACAGATCTTGAAAAGAACGCAATGCATACACAACACAACACATTGCCTGTCCATTGTTGTGGGCGCCAAGTCTGTTTTCTCTATTCGCAAGAAGTGTAACCCTGACAGACTGTTCTGTCGAATTTCAACATCTTCCCAGGATGAATTCGAGCTACGGATGAAGACCCTCACCACCTTCCCCAAAGTTTGCGATACCCTTGAGAGATTGAAAACTCGTCATCTTTACTCACACACCAACCAACCCTGCATTCCTATCAAACTGCCTAGTTCCAAACAGGCCAAACGGCCGAACCCAAACACCCAAACGGCCGGGGCCCCCTGTAGACGCGTTCGGCCCCAGCCGAAAACGGACACCCGGAAAAAAAAAAAAAAAAAAAAAAAAAGTAATGCAGAAAAATAAACTGAACACGTTTTTGACCACCTCCATCTTTCGCGATTTTTTATTTTCTTTTTGGGGGGTTACCCAAATGCCCTGAAGATTTTTAGATGTGTATTTCACATGATTGAAAAACTGTAAGAAAAAAATTCAAAAAATATTAAAATATTTTTTTTTTAGACCCCGAAATAAACTGAAAACCTAGGTTACCAATGGTCCGGGGGCCGGTCGTCTCCCCCGGACGTCTCCCCCATACGTCCGGTACCCCCGTCGTCCGGGGAAAACGTTTTTTTGTATATTTTTTTCGGTTTTCGATTTTTAACTCATGATTGACTGCGAATTTGAACATGACTCCAAGGCAAAAGTTGCTTGTATTGTTATGTTACATAACATATATTTTTTCAGATTTTTCTGAGAACTTTCTTTTTTTTTTTTT